TTTGAAGATATGATACAATAAGATTTATATCCTCTATTAGTCATGTTTTGAAGATATGATACAATAAGATTTATAACAATAAGATTTATATCCTCTATTAGTCTTGTTTTGAAGATATAATACAATAAGATTTATATATGCTATTAGTCTTGTTTTGAAGATATGATACAATACGATTTATATCCTCTATTAGTCTTGTTTTGAAGATATGATACAACAAGTTTTATATATGCTATTAGTCATGTTTTGAAGATATGATACAATAAGATTTATATCCTCTATTAGTCATGTTTTGAAGATATGATACAATACGATTTATATCCTCTATTAGTCTTGTTTTGAAGATATGATACAACAAGTTTTATATATGCTATTAGTCTTGTTTGAAGATATGATACAATAAGATTTATATCCTCTATTAGTCTTGTTTTTAAGATATGATACAATAAGATTTATATCCTATATTAGTCTTGTTTTTAAGATATGATACAATACGATTTATATCCTCTATTAGTCTTGTTTTGAAGATATGATACAATACGTTTTTTATTCTCTATTAGTCATGTTTTGAAGATATGATACAATAAGATTTATATCCTCTATTAGTCTTGTTTTGAAGATATGATACAATAAGATTTATATCCTCTATTAGTCATGTTTTGAAGATATGATACAATACGATTTATATCCTCTATTAGTCTTGTTTTGAAGATATGATACAATAAGATTTATATCCTCTATTAGTCATGTTTTGAAGATATGATACAATACGTTTTATATCCTCTATTAGTCTTGTTTTGAAGATATGATACAACAAGTTTTATATATGCTATTAGTCTTGTTTGAAGATATAATACAATAAGATTTATATCCTATATTAGTCTTGTTTTGAAGATATGATACAATACGATTTATATCCTCTATTAGTCTTGTTTTGAAGATATGATACAATACGTTTTTTATCCTCTATTAGTCATGTTTTGAAGATATGATACAATAAGATTTATATCCTCTATTAGTCTTGTTTTGAAGATATGATACAATAAGATTTATATATGCTATTAGTCTTGTTTTGAAGATATGATATAACAAGATTTATATCCTCTATTAGTCTTGTTTTTAAGATATGATACAATACGATTTATATCCGCTATTAGTCTTGTTTTGAAGATATGATATAACAAGATTTATATCCTCTATTAGTCTTGTTTTTAAGATATGATACAATACGATTTATATCCTCTATTAGTCTTGTTTTTAAGATATGATACAATACGATTTATATCCTCTATTAGTCATGTTTTGAAGATATGATACAATAAGATTTATATCCTCTATTAGTCTTGTTTTGAAGATATGATACAATAAGATTTATATCCTCTATTAATCTTGTTTGAAGATATGATACAATAAGATTTATATATGCTATTAGTCTTGTTTTGAAGATATGATATAACAAGATTTATATCCTCTATTAGTCTTGTTTTTAAGATATGATACAATACGATTTATATCCTCTATTAGTCTTGTTTTAAAGATATGATACAATAAGTTTTATTTCCTCTATTAATCTTGTTTGAAGATATGATACAATAAGATTTATATATGCTATTAGTCTTGTTTTGAAGATATGATATAACAAGATTTATATCCTCTATTAGTCTTGTTTGAAGATATGATACAATAAGATTTATATCCTCTATTAGTCTTGTTTTGAAGATATGATATAGTAAGATTTATATCCTCTATTAATCTTGTTTGAAGATATGATACAATAAGATTTATATATGCTATTAGTCTTGTTTTGAAGATATGATACAATACGATTTATATCCTCTATTAGTCTTGTTTTTAAGATATGATACAATACGATTTATATCCTCTATTAGTCTTGTTTTGAAGATATGATACAATAAGTTTTATTTCCTCTATTAGTCTTGTTTGAAGATATAATACAATAAGATTTATATCCTCTATTATTCCTGTTTGAAGATATGATACAATAACATTTACATTTTCTCTTATTATTGTATTGAAGATATGATTCATTTTCGCTACAAACGTTGTATTGAGGATGTGATACATGACAATGTTAACTAATATTTATATCTTATACATGTATGAGGGGAGCCGGGGTGGCTCAGTGAGTTAGACGCTTGCTCGCTAGCCTGAAGGTCCAGGGTTCAATCCCGGCATAGGTCGAGATAATACCTTCGGATTTTTTCAACCCGGTTTCCCCCTGTCAGTGATGCAGGTGAGAGGGGCTGACATGGAAAAAGCGTCTAGTCGTGTGCCCCGTGTGCTACAGGCTGTGCATGTTAATCCCTCGACAGTTGGATATCGAAAAAGAGTAGGCTAATGCCGCTGTCCTGGCAAAGTTTCCCTCATTGCACCCTGCATGGCGTTGCCCGTCTTCATTAGCCCACATGGTGCAGAAAAGTAGGACGTAAAACTCCATTCATTTCATTTATACATGTATGAGTGCTGTATTGAGGATATTATGATACATAATAAAATTCCCATCCTCTTATTATATTTTTATTTAAGATATGATACATCACTAAATAATATAAATATACATCACTAAATAATATAAAAAAAACTTCAGGAAGTCACGTTTTGAGGATGTGGTAAAAAAAATGTAAATGTTAAAGTTTACTTGTGTTAAAACTGAAAAAAAACTGTGAACTTGAGGCGATATTTGTGAATGGTGGTATCGTTTTCTCTATCTGTTCTCCGGTATCGTTACCTAAAAAGGTTGCTTTTTTTAAATGTAGGCTATATTGAACCCTACATATTTTCTTTTGTATAATCTGTGTTGTTGATACAATATGAAGTTGTGAGTTTATGTAGCAATGTAATAAACCGCTTGATGTGCTCATCATTTCACAATTTATATCGTACGTTTGAATTTTCGTGGAAATCATAGGTAAAGCCACCAAGAATTTGTTTATCTGTTCATTCCAATCCTTAACTAAATATCAACAATGTCAATAAGATGAAAATACATGTTAGTATAAATAGATTGATCAATTACCCTAATCCCTGGAGAGTTTTCTCTAACAACTGTATAAATCGAACTCAACCCCAACTATTATTAACCACATTAAGCTAGTATTGTAAAGGGTAAATTAGGCCAAATTGTATTCGTATAGATCTGGATCTCTTTTACCAATATTCTTTACGGCTAATGAACAAGCAATCCTCTGTTTAATCCACTTCCTATAGTTCCCCCGGTACTACAATCTGTTCTTTGCCAGGTAGAGGTTGTTCTCTGAACAATGAAATATATTAGAAGAATGTTTATAAGACAACCTTGTTGGTGATCTAATCTTATTTCACATATTATGTCATGGGTTTGGAATACATATACCAATACTAGCTAGGAGGTCAATCTGTACTGATGTCACCAGTTTTCTCATTCCACGAATGTTTGATGATAAGTGTGTTTTAAATAAAATATGCAATAAATATACAAAGTACTAACAATCCGAATAAATAAGCATTAGCATTTACTGTAATCTGTAAACAGCCTTAGCTAGATATGTGGACAAGAAATAAACTAAGCAGTGATAACTCAAATTTATTAACATTCTTTTCAGAAACTTGAGATGATAATTATAAACCTTTGAAGGGATAGTCTTGCTTTTTGAATAAAGTAAATTGGAAAATTAGGTGCTCAAATTAATGAATAGGCCTACCATTTATTTTCTACTTTTTCTGAAGTTTTCATCTACAAATAACAGTCCGTTTTAAGGCCCTTATAGCTTACACCAAAACTGATTTTAACTGCTTACTCAGGTCCAGGTTGATCAAGAAGGCAAGTAAAACATTTTTAAGATTTTTGTTCTACTTAGCTAAATACGTCTTCCTGTTAGACTAGCACTAGGATAACCTCTGTAATCTTGATATTAAAATTACGCCTAATGCCATATCCTGTCTCGGATGAGAAAAGCGGAAACCTGTCCGTCTGTTGCATTTTTAAACAGAGAAGAAGTTTTACATGGGGATGTCAGTGATGTAGGTCTCATATTCTCAACTCTATTCGTATTACCTGATGCATTGATACGAAAGAAACTCAGATATTGATTTCATGATGGAACACAGGTCTGTTAATGACAATCTAGAATTCGACCATCCACGGCCACTTTGTATTAGATGTAGTCTGTAGTTTAAATAATATGTCATTGCCTCCTCTTAATTGTGATACTTCTATCATTGCCTCCTAAGTTTAAGCAAATAGCCAGTTATCCGTGGCGGTTTGCCCCTTATTTCCAGCCACTGTCAGTTATCTATATTTCCGAAAGACTATCAATAAAATCCAGAAAAGAGGCTGGTCCGGCGTTGCCGAAGGTAAATAGGTAAATTCTATAAGGTACGTAGACAATCTACCATATATAGACAATCTTCTATAAGGCAGGCAGACAATCTTCTATAAGATGTGAAGGTAATATTTCCTAACGTACGTAGACCATCTCCTATAAGGTATATAGACATTCTTCAATAAGGTGTGTAGACAATGTTCTATATGGTTAATAGACAATCTTTCATAATGTACGTAGACAATCTAGCTTATATAGACAATCTTCTATGAGGTAGACAGACAATCTTCTATGAGGTAGATAGATATTCATCTATAAGGCAGGCAAACAATCTTCTATAAGGTAGATAGACAACTTTCTATAAGGTGTGAAGGTAATCTTCTATAAAGTGAGAAGATAATCTTTAAGGACAAAGGTAGACTACATAGACAATCTTCTATAAGGTACATATACAATCTTTGTTATGCTCGATGAAGAGTAGGTTTTAAGATTTATTAGCACATATCGTCAAGATTACAGAGAGACAATATTATATGATGTAAACATTAGAAAAGCAAACGTAAGACTGACGTAATCAGGCAAGTCTATCTCTTTCGACTAGTGAGTCAATCAAGTGAAGCAACTAAGTTCGATTGTCTCACACCTCCCCCAGATTATTATGCACTTTTGAAATGAAAACTAATAATCTGTCACAAAGTCTTTGAATATAGTTGGTTTTCTAATTCGTCTTCCATAACTACTAGTTCTGTGTTCTCTCTTCTTTTGAACTGGAACTAGGTCTGGCTGATGACGTTCAATTTCAGGAGCACTGGCTTCGTGATCTTGCTGAAGATTACGTTGAGGATTATGATGACCTCCACCTCCCCCTGTTCCTGAAGGGAAAGGCATACAAGTGTACGGATTAAGTTGTCGTTGGTTGCGTTGAAATTATGATATGATCTGTGAGGAAGAATTTTGACGATCTTCCCTTTAACTGTCCATCTTTTTGATTCGTACGTTACTACCAACATTTGCGTAAAGGATATGTTCTTCTGTTGTAACCATTGATGGACTTTTCATTGGCACGATTCTTGCGACGGTTAACTTCTTTGTCTGGCATCATCCATTTTTGTTGAAATGAGATTGGATGGCGTGGAAGAGAATCGTTGAAACGTCGACCAAGGCCATCCTTTTAAGATGATAGCTTTCAATTTCACCATTTGTTGGTCCTTTAATGAAGCCTCTTTAACTTTGGAGAGTGGGATAGAATGGTTATCTTCTTGGTCTCTGACCGACATGATGAGGTTGACGAGGATTCGGAATCTTCTTTATCAATTATGTCATCATCATTTGGTTGGTCTATTGGAGAACGAGATAATGCATCGGCAGCTTGATGAGATTTCCCACTTGTCCATATTGCGGTGAAATTATATGGAGTAAACTTCATTCTAAGACGTTGCAGCCTTGGATTGTCGATTTCATCGATCCTGTACTGATTAAAGATGGGTACCAAGGGTTTATGATCAATGATGAGATCAAAATGTGGTAATCCATGTAAAAATATGTGGCATTTCTTCACTGCCCAAGCAGCACCGAGGGCTTAAATCTGGATCATGGCATACAGGGATTCTGTTGGTGTAAGAAACCAACCTAGAATCAGCTTGAATTAGGCGACACGTTCCATCATTTTGAGTCTGTGTGAGAGCTAGGCCTAAAACATTGAGACGAGAAACGTCTACTCTCAATTGGGTTGGTTTTGATGGGTCGAAATATGCTAAGACCGGAGTCGACGTTAGCAGTTCTTTGGTAGCTGTAAATGCGTCCTCTTGTTCCTGATTCCAAAAGAATTCGTTCTTGGGTTTCAGCAAGGGACTGCATAGCATCTGCTATATCAGAGGAAAAATCTGTTAGTTGATTTACCAATCCAAAAAATGAACGAACATCAGTAATATTGCCAGGCCTTGGAAAGTCTTTCACAGCTCTAGTCAATTCTGAACTGATTTCATATCCATTGGATCTCAAGATGTAACCGCAAAATGGTACTGAGTGTACACCAAATTGACATTTGGACAAGTTAAGGTTTACACCATGGTCTTGACAGCGAATGAGGAATGCAAGTAGGCGTTGGCCATAAATAACAATGTCATCAACTATTTTGTAAGGTATATAGACAATCTTCAATAAGGTGTGTAGGCCTATAAGGTGCGGAGACAATCTTCTAAAAGGTAGATAGACAATATTGAAGGTAATTTATAAGGACTAAGGTACATAGACATCTTCTATAAGGTACGTGCTATTGCAGAATGCATCATTTCCATTGACTGAATTTTCAGAATTTTCTCACGGTAGTCAGAGCCAATGGATTAAATGAGCATATTATAGACCTTATTCATGTGTCGGCTCATGACACAAACCCTGAAGAGGTAACAATGTTATGTCACTATATTAAATCGCCACCTTGACGTCTTTAATAAAGCCCCCTTCTCCATCCAACTAACACAAAACTAATCATATTTTACATTATTAAATTTGGAATTAATTAAGCTGTTTAATGATACTTTTACATAACCGCTTCGAATTTGGCTTGTAGATATAATGCAGGCTATCAACCTTAACTAAATTTGGTATGCTAGTACATAATGATCTCAGTTCGAGGTTTTTAATGGATGAACGGTTTGGGGGTAATTGTCCTTGACTTGTATAAACGCGTCAAATTTGACTTGTAGGCAAGATATAAGATGAAGTATTTAGACGATCTTGATAAAATTTATTATGCTCGTACAATATTGTGAAAATCTTGGTCAACGTTTATATTCTATGGATGGAAGGTTTCAGAGATCATTGTCCTTGATTGTAGAAACATGGCAGGGACTCACTTCTCTAAAACATTTGAGTCCAGGCTATTTTTAGAAATCTTCTTTCTCTCTCCCTTTTGGGATTTTTGCATGCCCTTTTTGAGTAATTTTTGGTCTAGATTTGGTGAGATGATGAGAGACTTAAAGTCGGATGGATAATCCTAAAAATAGTCGTCAAATAGCTTCTATCAAACTTTAGCGGATGAGTATAACCGGTAGTAATCTACTTTCAATTTGATTAAGGATTGGTCAGGCTTTCATTCGACATATTGGAAAACTTTCAACGAGATTTCTGGAAAAAGTTGTAGAAGTTGAATTTCGTGTTTTAACATGGGAAGAGATGGCAAATGAATTAGTGGAGTGAGTCCTGTCTATAGTCTACTGGTTTCAGAGTTATTGCCCTTGACATTCTTTCATTTTTGACAGCAGTCAGTGAGCGTATGTTAACTTGGCTGACAAGCTATCTTTGTTAAATATATTCAAAAAACTTTTCGCTAGGTCCGGAGGCTGACTGGAGACTCAAAACCGCATTTCAAATCTTTTTAGTTTATTAGCTGAAATATCTGTCATAATAAATTTGTGTTATCTCCCTTTAATCGCGAAATGTAAAGAAACTGTTTTTCTCTACATACTGAGAAGCTTATGCCAAGTGTTCATTAAGTCTGTATAAGATAGCTTGCCAGGCAAGGTAATATACGCCCACTGGCAGCTTTGATTTGAATAAAAATATTTAGCAGCACAGTAACAATCACCAGTATGAAATATTCAACCTTCAGTCATACACTTCTTTTAAACTCTTTAGCGCAATACTGAATAATATGGATTATGAGTTATTTCGCTTGTTCTTGAAAACGTGTTCAATTTTTAGCTCATGAAAACTCTAGAAGGCAAATATTCAATCTTCAGCGCGGGACTTAATAATAAAACCAAGTTTTGTCAAAATCCAACAAGAATTATGCCCTTTAGTGTTTAAGAGCTAACTTTGAATTTTCAAGAACAAGGGCTATAACTCATACTAAATATTTTTCGATTCTTCTGATTTTCATTAAGGTTCATCCACGAACACTCATGCCAAGTTTCGTTAAAATCCATCAAGAATTGTCCCTTCTAGAGTGTTTACGAGCTAAAAATGGAACGCGTTTCAAGAACAAGGGCAATAACTTATACTAAATATTTGTCGATTCTTCTGATTTTCAATAGGGTGACGGCAATATACGCCCCCCATTTCATGTGGGCGTATAAAAATGGACAACAAAGATCTATCATCATTTAATATCTAATATGGTCCGTTTTATAGTCTCTTCGTTGACATTTACTAAGTCCATCAAAACGCTGACGTGATGAAATTTAAAATTGAAAAGGCATCATCCATTCCAAATATTTTGTAAATGTTATGACGTTAATTAAACATGACCGATATTGCCTATAGGAACTGGAACAGAATATCACTGAATAACTCATAGTAAATCATTGACGAATAACGAGACGAAAGGTGATGTCAAGATGTAGACCTATGCCACACCAGGTATTGCTGCATTAAGCATACATTTTTAGCTTGGTATTGTCGGCATGGGCTTAATATTACGATTTATAAATACCTTCCTTCTAACATCATGTATTAATTATAGCAGAGATTAAATACAATCTGCTTTGTATCTTTCAGTGGTAAAATTAAATTATACCTAAAATATTTCAACAGATGGATGGTACAGATAAACCAAACAAGTTTGTTTTCTCGAGAGACCTGTAAATTGGCGGGAGGCAAGTACGATGTTACGTCATATACCAAACCGAGTCTATGGGTAGTATGACCTCCTTCTTTCTGACGTCTGATTATGGTGCAACAGGTTAGTATGTGAGGGGTTTAGGTGAGAAATCCCAACCCTAGCTCTAATTGCTTCTCAGTTTGCTATGTGCGTGTTACGTCACTTGAAAAATATAAACATAGCTTGTTTTGTTGCGGTGTCAAGGTTGTTGGGATGAGCAACATCCTTAAGTCTAACTGATAATTAGTGACTTTATATATAATATATATATAACCACAATCAGTAAGAAGGTGAAGATGGGTACATAACTTGAATGCTTCTTGTTTTGAACTGATCTGATAAAGATGCTTTGGTAACCGAGGTTCGTTGGAAAACAGAAGAGAATGTTTGCAAGAGGTCATTTCATTGGATTTTATCGAGGTTTCAATTTGATTTAAAGTTTTATCAATGAGCATAAATCCTATCAAAATATCCATACTTGTATACTGTCGATTGCTACATAATTTGAAATACATATACCCATATTAGTGGTGTATTGTTGAACAAATAATGGGTCATGTTTTATACACTTTAACCTGCATTCTGATATTCAAGTCATCTGCAAACATTCAGCTAAACACCAATTTAAGATAATTTGCTGATACAGCACATTTATAACCATGTAATTAACCATCAATAAAAAGGGTCACATAAAACTGTCAGATTGAGGAGGAGGGGTAACATACGGTATGTCACTATAGTCGTAGTACCCTGGTGCTCACAGTCACCAGACCATTGACTATTATTGATGAAGAACATGTTTAGAAAATGATAGTATCTGTTTATTTCATCTCTACAATTTACTATGTAAATATTAGACTTATCTTTACGGAATCATTTTCGGTTATATAGGTCAACATGGGTTTCCCATTTGATGTATAATAATAAACTTTTGAGGCAGCTTATCAAGGTAACTTTGACAAGTGAGTAAGTATGGAATCGTTTAGTTTAACGCTGTATTCCCTGTGTAGATGACAAATTGAATGAAGGTGACGACCAACTTTAATTTCTCAGCATGCATAGTATACATACAAATAGTCAACACTGCTTCGACTTACCAACAACGTAGGCCTGAAATGAAAAGGAGTTTTACCTCTGAATTTTCTAAACCAAAATGTGCGAATGAAGATGCTTTTTGATTTAAATGTGATCACACACTCTTTCTAGACTTTTTTCACATGTTTGGTATAAACTTTGTTGGTTTTTGAAAAATCCGAGAAATGCTTGGGAAAGACAGTGGCCACGTTTATTAATTTGTACAAGGTTCAATGAGTAAAGTTTATTTGATAGTTTAGTGATTCATTTTAAAAGTTTTTACCCTCGTCAAATATCTAACATAGCTTCTCGTTACTTACCCACGGTCTTTAAAAACACCCATGTGGTCTTAATTTAATGACCAAACGAAAACTTACTATTACTTTTATCTTAACCGAACTTCTTACATTCTGCAGGTTTTATATGGTTTTGATTTATGAGAGACAACTTCTATCAGCGACTTTTCAAATATAATTGGATGTATAGTGCTTAAAAATACCATATTTTTCAAAGAAAAGTTAATATTCTGTTTTATGATTCTGAAATGCATGAGATGATTATAATCATGCTGGACGCAGTGAATATATAACAATTATATCTTAAAATATTTTCAGAACAACTTGACGAGAGTTTTTGGTAGATAACCTCTCTTAACGAATCCTTCTATTGGAGTAAAATCGCCTCCCGAACACTCGAACGAGACTAGGGTCGCCAAAGGTCGGATTCATCGCAATCGATATGGCATGTACGTTATCGATAAATTAATCGAGTGCTAGCAACTGTGATCAACTGTGTCGTAAATTTCGAAATACGTTGATAGGTAGCACCCTTAAATACTGTAACACCTTTTTATGTGTAGTAATAACTTATTGGGGGTCGAAATTGGCACTTCAAAAGCAAGTACAAATGTATACTTATTATATATTACTACACGCACGTGATTTGAGACATGACGTAACTTCCGTCGGATTGAGGTATTATTGGTAATGATATCCTTTGCCAATACGAAGTGAAACTTGATATCCCTGAAGACACGACCCAAATTTCACTAAATGAAAAGGTTGATATATCAAGGTCAAGGTTCTGTATGAAGGCGATGTGGGAAGGGTTAATATGCTTGATTTAATTTCCGTATCGGCAGTCGGCACTAGGTCTGACCGGTCCCATATCTGCGTCATTCACTTACACCGTTTGCCATGAACATTAGTTCCTGATGATGAAATACCATATGTTATGAAACATGTGTTCCAACTGTCAAAGGATCTTGAACGTTCACAGTCTTTAGCCTCGGTTTACTGTCTCATCCGAATGACTTCTTCTCCTCCAACTTATTTCCGACTGACCCGGTTAAAACATTTCGAAGATATCAAACTTAACTGCACCCAATAGAATTATACTGTTGTTCCATTACTATTTTCGTTTATAGGATTCTATGGATGAAGCTTTGTACAGCCAAACAAAAATACCAAAAAGATTTTCTTAAATCCCCGACCTGTGTTTTTGACTTTAAGCACCCGATGATAAATATTGAACTTTTAAAACCCTTCAATAGATATACGGAAAGGGAAATAAACGCCCTCCACTGACTATCAACTATTACGTAGCCTTTATCTATACTATACTATACTATAGGTTAAGTTAATTATCACACGAAAAGGGAAAAAAATTCGACAGAGGTTGATCCGTACAAAATTATCAAAGTAACGTAGTTGTGTTTATTAAAGTGGAAAAACTCAAATCAGTGGGTTGATATTTAGAATATTATTTTAAAGGAGCGCTCTCTAAGGATAATATCATGATTAGCTTGATTGTGACATGGCACCCACGGGATAAGGTTGAAGTCAGTATCTAGAGAATGAAGAGAAAATGACCATTTGCATATTATATATATACCGAAGTATGAGATTGTTACGTTGTTCAGGAACTAGTTGTAACTTAATTGGAGTTCTCCGTAGCAACACTGACCGACAAACGTTGAAATTTTTCGTTCAAGAAGTCGTTCTCTCCCCCACCCTCATTTCAAGCCTTTTCCACTACCATAAATCCAAATTCTGCTCTGTGTTATTTTGCTGACACTGGCCTCTATGTCCGATGATCGTTAATCAGATTCGTGATTAAAGGATGGCACATGTATGTTGGATAAATTCGTTTACTTACTAACATACAGGTTTTTGGATAGAATAAGCAACCCTCGTCTGTGTGGATAGAGAGATAAATCTTGTTTAAACCAGGAATAAAATCTGAGAGTAGTTTGTACGATATGGCCACGAAATGAACCTTTGAAAATATACTTTACACGATGTCAATAAACATCATAAGGAATTATATGTATGTGAGAACGTATTTTCGAAAATTGGATGAAGTCTTATCGAAATTAAAATCGCCATCACTCCTTTAAAGTAAAATATCGTGATGCACAGATAGAACTTATTTTCTCAGACCTCTAATGTATTCAATGATCAATCCTTATTAGAGTTTAAAAATAAATACGTTCTTATAGCTAAGTATGCCCACAAATAGGTCGAAATGTGTTGTTTAGCTTACTAATTCAATGGAAGTTTAAAAAAATCAAACGGAAATAAGCCCATGTATATTTTAAAGCGAGGAGTGGTCATTTGACATCTTTCTATTTTACCTTAATTCAAAGACTTACGGTCAAAAGGGGGTCATCTTTTAACGAACTGTCCAAACGTCCATGAAAGGGGCTTTATTAGGGTTATAATAAATGTAAAAGGGGGCTGAGGGTTACCTCCCGCCCTGGGCAGGTGATTTTTCTATCTTAAAGAAATTCTATAGGGGTTGGCTAGATTTAAAATTACATAATTTTCACAGTTATATTGTTTGGGGTTTAGCAAGGAGAACATTTTACCCCCTGTTTTTCGTCTTTTCACGCAAATGAATGTGAGATTATGATTAGCGATTTCGACCTACTTTTCTTAACAAGACTTTACATAAAATCCTGTCGCTGACACGTTGGCTAAATACCCCCTGTCAAACTTGCAGCTGATTTTCGATAAGCCTTTAAAAGTTCGTCATGTCAGCAAATGATTACCCGTCATTATTTTAAGACTTTAAAACATCAACCAAATGTTTACTGGAGTTTTAAAGTTTAACTTAACAAACAGCATTTTGTTTAATTTCTACTAGAAAATCTTCGAATTGAAATATATATTCAAAATTAGAATACAAACAAACTTTTGTAAAATCGGGGATCAAATTTTAAGAGTATTTTATTTCCAAACATAAACTAGAGTGTGACTTTTTCATGTAAAATGTTTATTCAATATAATACTGAACCATACATGTATTTCTATATTATTATAATAACGCTTATTTTCTTCGAAAGGCAACTATTTACATTATGTACAAAATTTGAACCTTTACTTTTTCTCTTTTATTGTTGTAAACTTGAAATATAAATAATTTCTAGTCAATTATTCATTTTCTGAATATATAGACTATGTAGTTGAAAAGTACATGTATCTTGCTTAAGATATTAAGATATCACAACTTATAACAACTGGTGTTCTGTGTAACTTGTATGTGGCATTCCCAGAACGTTGTAAGGCAACGATGATGTTATCGATACGAATTGTTGAAAGAATATTCTAAATGACATGCCGTTGGAAGTAGGGTGTATCGAGCCGAATCTCAAAGAAAGCATTAGTCGAGGTTTTGAGATAATTACCCATTGCAGAGGGTTACAATCTTGGATATTGTGGGGGTGGGGTCAGGATCACTGTTAGATTTAAAACAGGGCTATATGTAGATGTTGAGTCATAGTTGTTCACTCATAATTAAGTTAACATGTATGGACTAAATTCAAGTCATGAAAATCATTTGACATGATAATCGTCCCTAATTAGATTTCAAACGTAATAGAAATATCATTATTTTGTCCCGTATGCTTATGTAATATTGTATAATATCATTTTTATAATAAATGAAAGTATGCGTCAATTTAATGTGTGTTTTTGAATATTTATAACATAGTCGTAATGAAGAGAAAATGGAATTGGATAATTTAGAACCAAATGAAGTTCAATGAAACAAAAATTACTGCCTCTTCTGACATTAATAAAAACACCAAAATTGACTTGTCATTGACATTACATATACAAAACCTGTGTATTGTTGAACACTTGGGAAAACGATTAAATTATCGTTTTTTATGAAGCTGTTACATATCCCTGGACTGTAAATGTGTTACATGACATGCGTCATGTTATATTTGTAAATATCGTAGTAATTGTTCTAATTGTATACTTAAGTTTTTCTGCGGAACAGACGACAAAACATAATTAACTATCATTGATTTGATCAAATGATTTGTAGGTTGATCAAGGACAACGACATGTCAACGTTTAGTTTTTACTTTTTATTTGAGTTCAGGTAAACTTTAAGGTAAACTTTAAGTGCACTTAGTACTTATTTCTTAGAAGGATCTATTAAAAATGGAAAAAGAACCATATCTATTATTGACAGCTATTGCCTACCCCTTTTTAGACAATTCTTCAGTCAGAGGCTGTTAGATAAGTGATAGGGAGTACTCAAAGGTTCACGATCTGGTGCCTAGGCCAAAGTATCTAACATCTAATATTTGCAGATCAACATTTCCTATCGATAAACTATAGCGACCAAAGACTTAAAGTTCTAGTACCGAAGTAACCTTTAGAAGTGTGGGTATAAGTATATATGGTAATATGCTTACCAAATTGACCTCAGCTTGGCAAAATAAAAGTTTGAACTAACGGGTTACAGAATAATTGGTTAAATCATTCAGTAAGACAAGGTGCCAAACTATCACAGGTCTGATAATATCTCTCAGTATCCTAATTGTAACTTGGCATTGCTCTTGGAGCGAGGAAAGGCTGTGATTCTCAAGCAATCTGATTAAGAACGTAAACAATGCCCTTATGTTAATTACTATATTAAAGGGACAGATGCCCCATTTGTTTGACCAATTTTACTTTAATCTCAGAAACAGGATTTTTTTTAATTTAAGCCAATTAGTGACAGTGTTCTCAACTCACCGTCGAAATTTTAGCCTTCAAATGCATGTATGTCCAGTAGTCAGTTCTTGAGACTCTGCCATGTTTAATATAGAAAAATTTATATTCTAAAGTACTGTAACATTATGTTTTTCATAACATCGTAAATGATTCACATACTTCTCTTGCACTATTCCCATTCAACTAGTGTGGTTCTTGAAAGTTCTCTATTTGTGTCCGATTGCTAAGTCAGCAAATTAATGTAGGAATTTCAACATGGCAGTGTTAACTGGGCCATCTGACACGTCGCTGATGACAATATGCAACAGAAACCTGCGAAACAAGAATCCTTGTGTTTCTACACACCTTAACATGGTCGCCATTTTGGTAAGATTGGCACGTTTCCTGTGAACACAAGGTAAGTGATGTATTCGCTGTTCGAATGACCGAAAACAAGCAAAGATACGTTGTCGACCGCAATTAGAAATATGTAGTAAAAAACTGTTGAACATATCACCTACGTGAAGCCGACGTCATGAAAGTGTTTAGATGAAAAAAGATCCACATGGAAAAGAAAATAAAAGAAACGTGTTTACTCAAATTAATTTCGGGACATTTGTGTTTGTTTTGAATTATGAAATCTTCAGAGATTAGAAAAAACTGAAACAATACGTCGTGAAATTAAATTTGATTTGGTATTTTTCTTAAATTAATATCACATTAACTGAGTAGAAAATAGTCTTTAATGTTAAATTATTGGATATTTCCACAACAAATCTGTATCAAGGGTGATGACCTCCTTCTTTCTAAAGGCGGTGGCCTACTTCATTTTTTAAATCTATGTCCATTTCTACACCTTTAGATGTGGTAGAATAGCACTCCCTCGAAAGGAGTGCAACTTTGTTCTCTACGGAATAATTATCTTGTATCTCTTAATGCCATTCTGTGTTTGGGTTTGTAAATTGCCAAGGAGTACATAATACTAAAATTTGGTATTTTAAACGATACAGACGAAACAACTTGAAATCTCGTAAGCATAATCGCACTTTGATGATAGCAATGGTCGAAAAACCACGAAATAAAGTCCAGGGCAACTCATTTGTCCATCTCATCGTGTATCAACAGCAGACGCTGTTAATGAGCTTTAGATTTCATAAGCATTCAGCACGACAAGTAGGTTTTACATGTGTTAAATTTGGGTTAGGCATTTGCAGGGGTACCGAAGTAATGACCAGGGCAGGTTTCCCACGTTTCGAATTCCTCCGAGACAGGTGAATTAGTTGACCTATTTTTAAAATGAAAACATCTGTCCGACCCCAAAGTTTTTTCGGGGTAAGAAGGATATGGATGTCCACATCTTCTGAACAAAAGAAATGATATCCTCACTATGTGTAATGAATTGAAGGGTTTATAACCTGCCAGTAACCGATGACCCATTAAATTTCGTTTTATTCAAACTACCAATCATTAACATCCGGTAACTATGTAATGTACCTGTTGTAGCAAGGGTTAAATACATTAAGTGTCATGGTCCAGTCGGCACGAGAAAACTATCTCAAGACATTTTGGTTCTTGGACCTCGAGGAGATGCAAAAACCAAACGTTAATATATTTCTAATTTCTGATCTACTTTTTCATATCATTTATGCATCTGATCAATGTTAAAAAGGCCAACAACTTTGACGAAAAGCAACACGATGAAGCGGTAGGTGATAGAGAATTGAAAGTCCTACATTTATCAGATCGAGTCAATCCTGGCACGGAAAGGGTGAAACCAACACGAAATGACATTAGTGATTACAATTTCCAACTCCTACACGAGGAAAACTCTAACACCTAACCAATCTCAAATTAACTTTCAAGGGTGAAAATTTGCTAACACCTTTCAGTGAAAGTGTTCCATTTTGTCCTAAATGTTAAGTACGCTTAACCTTTTCAGTGTGTGGATATGATTAGCAATGTTTGTTGTCATTTTTATAAACCTCACAACTTAAACTCCTTCTTGCAATGTCATTAAGATTTTCTTTTCAAAAATGAATCTAAAATTAGTCGTGTTTACTGTTTTGATTTGTCCCATGTTTGTTTTATTCGTTTCGTTTCGGTTTGTTTGATACAACTGTAGCGCTGTCATATTTGATGAAGAGCAAATTTCAACAACAAAAAATGAAAATGGTCCAGTTTTATCAATTGGAGTTAGTTATATGCATAGCTGCGTGATACAAATGTCTGATGTAATAGCTCTTAATATTTCAAATGACAAATGTCATTCAGATGTCCTTGAAACTTGCAAATCCACAAGAGAAAAAAACAATGTAATTGTAGTATTCTAGTAATACTGTATGCCTGGAAATCCCTTCAAGGGATAACCATTTTGACTTTTACACTGCCCAATATAAGGGCAGCAGACAAGGAAAATGAAATAAAATGAATGGATGAATTTTCTATTTTCCTGCAACAAGTGGGCCATTCAATCCGGCAACGTCATACATTGTGCAATGGGGGAAATTTTACCAGAACAGCGGCATAAGCCTGCTCTTTTTTGATTTCCAACTGTCGAGGTATCTCTAATTTGTACTGCCTGTAGCACACGGAGCTTCGGTTTATTGTCCCCGAACGACTAGACGCTTTTTTCATGCCAGTCCCTCTTACCTACATCACTGACAGGGGGAAACCGGGATGGAGAATGCATACTTTCTTTAGGTACCTTGTGATCTCTGTGAAGGTCAGTGATTGGAAATTGGGATTGTTCTTTTTAAACTTGAGATTATTCTTCAATAATCTAAACAAAATTCTTCCAGGTTGTGGCAGATCTGTTTTAATTGTACCCTCGGGCATTTTAAAAGGGGGGATAGGGACAAGCTGTTCTGTTAAAAATTACAGATTTATTTAGCAGGTCATTACCCCCTCCCCGTCTTCTGCTATAAAAACACAACTAATTCATTGAAAACCCCCTCCAAATGACTCGACTTAAATCGCCTTTGGGCCATCCAGGTGGTCTGTTGAAACAAGGTATACCAGTGAGAAAGGTAAGGAGGATACTCAAAAGAATTCGGACAATTTTCGGGATCTGTCTGTTATGGGGATGACCACCGTGGGTTATTCTTGACACTTTCTTGTTTTCATTACTTTTGTAAGGTTTTCCACATTCTAATATTCACATATAATTCTGTGTTTAGACTTTATTGTGATAGGTTTTGTATTGTGTTGAAAAGGGTTTGTACACAAATGCATCGACTGGTGTTAAACGTTCAAAAGTCAAGTCCCAATACAAATGCCAAGACATGTTGGCTCGCAAGGGTGTTATTTTTTGCTGACATTGCATTTAATTCAACCATTTGTAAATAGATAAATGTTTATAAGCTATACATTTGATCGATTTATATTTTACTTTAACACTGTATAACTTTGTTTGTTTGCTATAAGGAAACGCTACACAAACCAGTGCCAAGAGTTCAAAACTTAAATGGCAAGTGCATATATCATGAAGTGCGTTTTAGAATATCGTTATTTTAATACTTCATACATGTATATTTCACATAGGAAAATTCAAAATCACAAACCCTTTGATGAACCGGTCTCTTTTCAAATGATAGTAAATTTATGACTTAAAATATAAATTTACATTTTAATATAATATTCCTCCAAAATATGGTGATCATTCTGATCAAAATCTGGCCTCGTGAAAAGAGGTCTTTGATCTTTTTTCTTTACCTTGAATTACAAATATGTTCACACAGATGTAAAAAGGCTCTACGCTAGATTAAGGTGCCCATAAATAAGGATGTACATCTGACATTAATAAGGAGTCTTTTCAACAAAGCTAATCGTATCTGCCTTTTTATCAAAGAGACGATGAATACCCGAATTAGTATCGTGCATTTTAACTTAGCCAAAGTTTTCTCTTGCCTCTTGATGAGAGCTTGAGAGAAAATTGATAACTTTGTACTTAGGGCAGTTGGGTTGAAGGCCGACACTGGCTCGACTATTTTTGACACTGGCAATGGCTGAGGCATCAAAATTTCACTTGTTAGACAAGCAGTTGAGTTAAATTTTGTGGCAGGTTGGCAAGATTGAAATTAAGCAATGTCTGACATGGCAACATGGTACACGTTTTTTTAGCTGTTTTAGTGACAGATAATTCAGAAACCAGGGATGTATCTAGCTTCATTTATAGGTTTGATTAAAATAGAATGAACTCTCGCCAGTCGTTATTTCCTTAACATGCTAATATATATATATATTGCAGTTTGCTCCTTTTTAACCGATTAGTTTGGACAGTGCTAAATGTCATTTTAAAGTAGATTCTTTACTTTTGTGTCAAAACTGTTAAAAGTATATTCATATCACAAAACTGTGGTGTTCATGTTTAAATCAGTGACAAAATACTGGAAATGTTAAAATAATTAAAGTACGATGCCTCGGGGAGTTCACTATCACCACTTGAGGATGTTCTTAAGTTTCACTCTTGACTTAGATTAAGAGCTAAATAATAGTTTTACCATTCACGAGAATTATATAATATGTAAGGTAAACCCCTCTAAATTGAATTATAATAACAGTAAGATATAGTCAAATATTGCATGTTTATGGCACTTGCCATGTTGCTATGGTTAACATTGCCCAAAGGTTATACATTTTACTTAATATAATTATTTGCATTTACAAATACCTGCAAATAAAATTGAAACATTGACGCATTCAGCTTCAATCGAATCTTGCCTCTAATAAGCATTCTGGACAGATGCTCACGGACATAATCCGTATAATAGTCAGACAGTTCGTACACCTTTGATATTTCAACTATGCGACTTGGAATTAGGATATACTGGATACTGAGCTTAATAAGTATATCACCAATTAGTTCATCACATTGTTTATAAATATCAGAAAAATATTTCATATCTTAATGTATGATTTTTATTAACAATTTGTGAAAACAACGATTGAGCTATGTTGCTATGGATGAGATATGTTTAGCTCAGTTGATATTTTGACGCCTAAAACAGTTGTTAATCATATCTTCTCAAATTATTTATTTCGGCAGGGAGCACAATTGACTTGGACTTTTCGGGAGCCAATTTTCACGTACGTCAAATACTATACACCAACATAAAAAGATTGAAGAAAATTTTCTCATGATTGTAGTTTGTATACATCTAGGTATTTTTATGACAGTATGTGAACGGCACATGACCTTTTCCTGACTAGCTTGTTAAAAACCTCACCCTATCAAAGACTTTTCAACACTTGTGTATCTGACTTTAAAACTAGTTTCATTTCTTTCAATCGACTCTCTTGAGCTCACGGTGTTTCGCTGTTCAGGTCGGTGCATGTTCCCACTGATGTAGAAGGTGCTTTTTTGTCAAGTGGTTGAGATGTGAGA